CCTAACCCCCCACCCCCACACCACTCTTGTCGTCTTATCAACCGCTACTCAGTCGCACCCCACCTTACCCTAACCCTAACCCACCACTAAACACAATACCACAATTGTTGTTGTCATACCCACCCAACTACCCGACCATTATTCCACCACTATCATCATCATAGCTACCACCCTGCCACATACCTCTACACACCCCATCTTCCTGTCCCGCTCCCACCCCTGTCCCACCTTACCTTACTCCAACCTATCACTAACCACTATCCTACCACTATAGTTGTTACAACTAGCACCCTGCCACCCACTGCCCCACCCTCGCTGCTTTGCCCCAACAATCCCCACCTATGGAAGGGGTGGTGGGGCATGGTGATAGTTGTGACAACGACAATAGTGACATGGTGGTTGGTAGGGTGTTGGCGGGGCGATGGGTGAGATAGTCCAAACAAAGACGATTGTTCCAATTCTATTGAGAGCTTCCATTTTAATTCCTACCAACCAAACGCGTGGTCAAATTCTATCAAAATCTATTCCAATTCATTCAAAGTCAAATTCTTTTGATGAATTTCAATTCCATCAAATTCCATTATGTGAACCAAACACCCCCTAAAAGAACACTTATAAGACTTGAAATGGTGACTTCTAAAGAATTTAATTGGCAATGGATAGATATATATAAAATCAATAATGAATCCTTTAGAAAAAAATGACACATATATTAGAACAAAAATGGTAAAGCTGCGATCATTGCAATAGGGCAGTTTTTGAATTTTTTTCCCAAATATATACACAGCTTATCGGCTGTAGCAATGACTTTATAGAAAACAAACTATCCTTTCATAGCCACGTGGCAAAGTATTAAGGTCGAAGAGTCCTTCCTATCCTATTTGATAAGAATCAGACAAGTGATAAAAATTAAAAAAGACGCCGTTGCCGGGGATCGAACCCGGGTCACCCGCGTGACAGGCGGGAATACTTACCACTATACTACAACGACCTTGTTGTCTACTTCAAGCCATTGCCAATTAATAATCGAATCATAGAATTTGTTTTATGATTTTTGTATATTCACAATGAATGTATAGCACATAATTAGATTAGATGATGGATACACAGGTCTTTTAACAAGGGTATGTTGGATATTTTTTCAAAAGACGAAATCAAATTTACAGTATTGAATTACACAATGTTGAAATACGATTGATCATTAATGAACTAAAAATCTTCAATCCGTCATAATCTTTAAAATCAGAATATAAGAGTAATTTTTGAAAGAGAGCAACTAAGAAAGAAGTATAGATATTTAGGCAGCACTGTGTCAGGAGCCATTGGTTGAACAGAGATGGAGAGTGCGACGACCATATGAGATCACGATAGAAAGAAGTACGATAGACAAATGATTGTAAGAGAATATGAGTTAAAGTAAGAAGCGTAAGAAGAGATCTAGACCATTGATCACTTTGAATTTCACCCCCGCTCTATGAATTGTGTGTTTCTAACAGGAATTGATCCAAAGTGCACCGCATTAGTATTAATCTTCAATCGGGATTGATCCAAGGTGGAGAATCCTTCTTACCCTTCTCATCATAACTTCAATTCTTACCGGAACTCAACCCAATATCAATATGAAATATATATATATATATATATATATATATATATATATATGTTGTAGCACTCCTAAAATAGGAGACAATTTAAACCAGTAGAATAAAAAATGGACTAAGATTTGAACAAATAAAATCATCCAATAAAAGGGGAAATAGTTTTAAGAGTTTACAAATTTAATGGTTGGTAGATAAGAACCTACTAATCTAAATCAATTCTATATCTAGATTAGAAGTCATTAGTCGCTACAATCCTTAAAAAAATAAGTATATTGTTATTAACTCCACAATTGGTTTCCAAAAGACGGCAATCCCAAAAATGCCTCTACCTGCACGTACCGCTCCACTCAAATCCCACCCCTAAGAGAATCTAATATGCATGTTATTTAAGAAAAAAATGTTAGACTTAACGCCTAGTCAGAACAAACCATTATAGAATAAAACTATAAAACATTAAAAATGAAAACATAACTTTAATCATGTCATTTTGTGAAACCAAGTTCATTATTACCCTTGGAAGGGTGAAAAGTATCATAAAATGACGGGGTAGACTCGATTTACTATTGACAGCGACAAAACAAAAAAGTAAGACACATCACATTGGTCATCGAGTTCAACCATCTATGGTCTATAGTTCGAGTCCTCCAATGTCTATGAAATACTTTTTGGCTAGAAATATATTTTAAAGGGACATGCGGTCATCAAGTTTAACCACCCACGATCTATAGCTAGAGTCCTCGGTGATTTAATACCCGTATCTAGCTATCAAAAGGGAGTAAGTATCCCACATTACATAAAAAATATCGACTTCTATGCCTATAAATCCATTTCATTATAGTCTATAGAGTATAATCCTTTAGATATGCCCCACAATGCCAACACATAAATAATCGTATTTAGATAGCCGCTAATTTGGGTAAAACCCCATTTTATCAACAAGTCAAATTAAAACTATTTATAATCCTTGGTGTTCAAAACTCATTAAAACTTTGAAGTAATACTCCCCAATATATATATATAACTTATCCCACACTTATTTTATAAAAAAAGGAAAAGTTCAAAAAACCCAACGAACTATTTCATTCTGAATGATCAAGTACTTGAACTATTTTTTTTAATGAAAAAATCATTAAACTTTCTCATTTGGAATGATTAAGTCCTTGAACATTTTAAAAAAAATCATAACACTTTTAAAAATTAGTTATCTACATTCTTGTAACCAAAAAGAGTTATATTAACCGACTAGTACAATTTCGATGGTTTATTTATTTTTAAAAAAAAAATCAGCATCTTAATAATTCAAAATGCAAAAGTTTATGTTTTTTCATTCAAAAAATAGTTCAAGGACTTAATCATTCAAAATGAGAAAGTTTAATTGTTTTTTCATTCAAAAAAATAGTTTAAGAACTAAACCATTCAAAATGAGAAAGTTTATTGGGGTTTTTTTGGACTTTTATAAAAAGATGCATAATAAAGTTTCAAAACTCCAAATTTGACCTAGTTAATCCAAAGTCATCCGAACGTAAAATACTTGAAATAAAAGCTTTAAAGAGAGCTAAAATGCAACATTTTAACATGTATATGGTTTTGTAAGAGTATAGAAAGAACTCACGATGCTAGGTTTTGCATGAAAACCTAGAAATCAAGAAAACCCTAGAAATAGAGAAGAGGTTGAGTAGATATTGAATCTTAGCCCAAGATACTTGAATCCTAGCTTGGAAGTGACTTTAATGCTCCTGGAATGAACCAAAAACGGACCTACGGTTCACTTGTGGTTTAAATGAGGTGACGGGGGAGAAGTGTGGAGTAAATGAGGAAGGAAACAAGGAAAATCAGGTTTATTCAAAGCAGTTGACCCGCGTGACTTCTAGACGGGTTTACCCGCACCGGGTTGCCTATGTGCTTTCTTAACCTGACACAAACAGTGCCTTAAGCGACTTCAATGTGGGTTCGACAACATTAAGGTTGCCCACATGCTTCAAATGGGGCAAAAATAGTGCCTAATGCACCTAAGCTGCGGCTCTAGCTGTATAAAACCCACATTTCTCACTGTTTTTCCTCCCAAAACCCCTTTCTTGAGTTTTTAGAGGTATCAAATACATCCCACATACTAAGTGCTTAAGGGAATTCAATCCTAAACACGAAGCGATCGAAAAGTATCTGAGCTCCAAACTTAAATAGTTTAGAGAAATTTCAGGTGTTACATATATCAAGGTAAAGCTATGAATGCGAAAACAAAGTATGCTTCTTAAAGATGTTTTCTATGATAGATGAAAACGTATGGTGTAGATCAAACTAGTCCAATATATCGAGATGTATGAAAGTATGACCTTTGTTCCAAGGGTATAATGTTTGTTTCTGTATACAACCCCAACTTGTTAAAAGTATGCAAAAAAGACAGTTTGCACAAACAATTTTAAGAAAGATAGATGGCTTGTTATCCAATCAACACCTAGGGTTTAACGTTGTAAACCGTCTCTAAGAGTATTTTCAATGGGTAATACCAAATTTTATACTAAAACAATAAAAAAATGGTGCAAAAAATAAATCTGTTTTAATAGATAACACCAAATCTCACATCAAATTGTAAGATTTTAGGTATATTCCTTTTTTCTCTCACAAAAGATATATTTATTTTATTGATTCTATTAAGTTATAATTACAGGAAAAAAATAATTAATGTACACAATAAACATTAGTTGACAGTTTCTAGACAATTGGTTTCTGTTTATCAACCGTCAAATATATCTATGGCCATAGGTTCATTTGAGAAATGATAAGTATATGAGAAGTAGAGAAGTGTTCCAGCCCTTCATCTGGTCAAGATTTATAGATTTGACTGTGAAGCACCTCGAAAATTATGGC